TGATGTCCATATAGAGTGGTGGCACCACCACAGGTGGAGGCTTAGCCATAGTGCCAGCGCCTAAATTAGTATCTTTAACCTTGTTTCACAAACACTTGAAAACTGACATTTCTCCCCTCCACCTTCATGGCACACCAATTAACATCCATGAGAACATATTTATACTTCAGGAAACTTGCTAAAGACACTAATATAGTCAGATAAATGAATGTTGGAGATGTGGGGAATTGGAGAGACATTAAAGCATGGGTGCTTGTCTCGGTAGATGATGATGGAGTAAATAATGCAAGAAAGATGGGAGAGAAGTTGATTCCATTAGAGAGCTCTTTAGGAAGAATATGTGACAGGAATTAATGATTGAGTAGAAGTATGAAACTAAAGAAGAAAGAATCTTTCCTGTAAGTTTGGTTTGAATCTAAATACACCATGAATGGGGTAGGTGTTTGGCTATTTGCCTAGTGATTAAGGCATTACTTGGCACACCCACATCCCATATTATATGCCTGGGTTCAAGTCCTGGCTCACCTCCCAGTTCCAGCTTCCTGTTAATATGAATCCTGGGAGGCAGCAGGTGGTGGTTCAAATGGTTTGATTGCTGCCACCCACATGGGAGACATAAATTGAGTTCTCAGCTTCTAGTTTTGACCCGGCCCAGCTCAGACTATTGTGAGCATTTGGGAGGTGAACCAGCAGATGGTAGCTCTGTCTGCTTATCTATCTGCTTGCAAATAAGTTTTTAAAATAAAATAAAGCAAAAACAATATGAATGTAAAGTCCAAGATGATTTCTGGGCCTTTCCCAAACTACTCCATTTCATGTGATATTCAGAAGGTGTATAAAAAAGAAAAATACATTTCCAGCTACCCAGCAAAAAAAATTTTTTAGAAGGAACATATTATCTTTGACAACCAATGTTCTAGAGACAAAGCTGAACTGACTAACAGCACTTGCAGATTTCAGAATAAATGGTTATGCACTGATAGGGCAAGATGCCAAGATCGCTATCCAAGGTGCTGAATTGATTCATCTTGTGATCTGAATCAGTGCTTGGGTTGCCCTTTTGCTTGTGACTATGTCAAGCTCAGCTCTCTGACAGAGTAGCAGCCTTGGCCCAGACCAAACAAGATATCAACTGCCTAGCACATTGGCTGCCTGCTTTTCTCAGGACTAGCTGACCCCGGCTTTTGATCAAGTGAGGAGTCTGATTTCTCATGTGGACTCCTGGAAGATCAGCCAAAGCTTCAAGAAGCTCTCTGTATCTACAGAGTTTAAAAATATCCTGACAGGTAAACATTTCCTATAGGAATAAAACTGATCATCCAAGGGAGAAGATAATTTGTTACTATGGATGGCTGGTGAGTTGGAGAAACTGATTCTCAGGATTTTATTTCAGCACATCTAGATGTCAGGACCCTGACATTCCACTTTTGCAGGGAACTTCTTTGGGCCATTGGTCTACACGGAGCTCAGAACTCTAAGGGACATATTTTCTACCCCCCAGTGGAAAAAAAACAAACATATTTTGAGGTACTGTACAGTAGCTGATATTTAGCTTCAAATAAATTAAATGGATTAGAGCTTCAAAGGAAAGAGGATTGGCATGCACTGTAGTAGTTGGGAAAGCTCCATAGAGAAAATGAGAGAATGACTTGGGCCTTGGTGTACATGGAGACTTCAAATATATGGGAAGAGGGTGTGCACAGATGACAGTATTATGGGAATGGAGGTTCCCACAACATATTTGGAAGATATGTAGTTCAGTTTAGAGCTTCCTATTGTTTCTGCATATGGTGTGTCTCATTGTTTCCTCCTACAGTTTAAAAAACTACTACCCTTGGGACCTTCCCCACTGCAATCACATTATTTTTCTCATACAAAAGAAAGAAGCATCTTTTCAAGTATATTGATAGTTGGAAGAAAATAATTCAACAGTCTGCCTAGAGTACTTTTGGTATTTCCCAGAGACATGCTTGTTCAAGGTATATGGATCCTTTTAAAATTTCTGGCCCTCTGAGGTGGGCATTTGGCTTAGCAGTTAAGGTGGTAGTGCAGAATAGCTTCATCTCATCAGAGTACATGGGTCCAAGTCCTTGCTCCACTACTGACTTTGGCTTCCTGCTAAAGTGCATCTCAAGTTGGGTCCCTGCCACCCATTTGGGAGACCTGGATTGAGTTCCTGGTTGTCTGTTCAGCCTGGTATAGCCAGTTATTGTGGGCATTTGGGAAGTGAACTAGCAGACGGAGTTTCTCTCTCTCTCTCTCTCTCTCTCTCCCTCCCTCCCTCCCTCCATCCCTCCCTCCCTCCCTCCATCCCTCCCTCTCTCCTTACCTCCCCTTCTCAAGTTAATAAATAATAAATAAAAAATTTAAAACTTCTAGTCCTCAAACCTCAGCCCTGATAATCTTTGCTCCTGGGTGGTTGAGGAATGGTTAATAATGTATAGCTTCCAATTTGTAACAAAATCTGTCTTGATACTAACAAGGCCAATTTAAAAATGAACGGAAAGTGCAGGCAGAGGAGGCAGAGAGGGAGGAAGAATCTTAAAGTGTGATACTTGATGGTAAAAATGGAAAGATTTCATAGAGAAAAGACTTTATTGACTGAATTTACAAGAACTTTGTTCATGAGTCTCCTTTAAAACTAAACAGTGAGGTTGATTTAACATTCCACTTACCATATTTTAAAAGGGCATTCTGAACATGTTTTCAGCACATTCATTTTCAACAGTTGAAAGATTTCCAGACTTTTGTGTTAAAGAAACAAGCAAAGGAAGAGCCACGGCAGTAAAAATGCAGCCCCAGGAGCTTGATGTGACCCAGACACAAGAGCCCCCTTCTCTGGAGTTTTGACTTTTGAGCAGAAACAGACAAAGCAGAGAACTCCCTTTATTTCCTGTGAAGAGTTACAAGTGGAGGCGACCAGAAGGATTTTAGATTAGTCTCCATCAGGATTTCAGTATTGGATAGGTTAACGTATTTAATGAAAGTTAGTTAAAAACTGATTGATATTATTTAGTATTATTTAAAACTGACTTAGGTTTTGATGACTAAGTGTGTCACACAGATATGGAAAACAGCAAACATTTAGAAATTCTACTTATTCAACTGATAGGACAAGGGGTGTGAATACAGTTCACAAATATTCACCGGATTTCAAGCACATCCCCAGCTAAGCTCCTCATCACCATTCTTTCAATAGAACTTTTTAGCTAGTATGAAATACTTTCTCTTTCCTCCCTTCCCCTCTCCTCCCTCCACTCCTTTCTCCCCTTCCTCTGTTCCTTTTATTTGAAAGGCAGAAAAACACAGAGACCCTCCCGTCCTGTGGTTCACTCCCCAAATGCCTGTCATAACAGAAGTCAGGAACTCAGTTTGGGTCCTCCCCACATGGGCGACAGGATCCAAGACTGGAATCATCATCTGCTGCCTCCTGAGGTGTGGATTATAAGGAGGCTGGAATTCGGACTGGAGCCAGTATTCAAACCCAAGCAGCATATTAACTGCTGTGCCAAACACCTGACCCTAAAGGGTAATCTGAATCACACATCCCTGATTCCTCACTAGCTGTGTTCCTCTTGAGAGGCACTTCTGTGCTCCTCATTTTTTCATGTCTTTTGCCTTTGCCTCTTCACACTCATTTAATTAGGGACACACACTCTCCACTCTTCAAAGGCCCTTTTCCTTCTCTCACCTCCCAGCTTTAGTCCATTCAATTTGTCCATTGTCAACTCACTATTTCCCATTCCTATTCATTTCCTTTTGCACCACAAACAACTGTAATGATTATGCCTTTGTCTTCTGCACAGGGCACCATGGAAGTCCTCTTTGGGTGTCTGAACCATTAAAAGCACACACAATTAGGTCTCAGGTGTTCAGTGTGAGGATTTAAAGTGGTGCTCTGGAAAAACTTCAATGCTGAATATCTAGAAGAATCGTTTTAGTGCTTATCTTGTAGGACAAATGTACCTATGCAAAATAGGTTATTTGCTGATCTCACAAAATCCGTAAAGTACTAGTGCACTCAAAAGAAAGAATGAAAGGGCATTTATTAGGGTTTCTAAGTATCCCTGGGAAAGGAGGTCTCATGTATCTCCAAATATTAATCCTGTCTCTGTTCACTTCCTGCCTTTTTTATACTGAACAGTCCCTGCTGAAATGAGTAAGGGACAGCTGGTACCAAGAGTAGCACACCTTGGATATTACATGCTCTACTTGAAGAAACTGAGGTGCAGAGAAAAGAAGGGCAGCTGGCAAGTTCTCCTAAGAGCAGATGTTTAACAAATGTCTATGTGGATTAATCATCATGTGCTTATTACTACTCAACCTTCAACATATAAAATAGAGGTGTATTTTTAAATATATGTACCAAACTTTAATTTTCATTTCACACTCAAAACTTCTGTACAAAAAAAGGCAAAGCAGGCAGAAAGATTACAATGACTTCAGCAAACAATGTATGACAACAGTTTTGGGAATGCAAAAGTCTTATACAGATGTAGCAGTAAGATTGGGTTCCAATGTTCTGGGCCCTTTAAGATAGAATTGCAGTGTTAATTATTCACATCCAGAAAAAAATTATAGCTGTCTAGGACACAAGATTGAATAAGAAGTCTCTGAATTCTACTGCACAATTGGATCCCAAGATTGATGAGCCTTCATTTTTTCTTTTGAGGAAGTATGAAATAATTTTTCCTTAAATGTGATGATGTATCAAAAGCCTCAGTTTACGATTAATGCCGTTATATGACTGCGATGACTGAAAGTTGATGAAACATGATATTAATAGTTCAAAGGTAACATCCAAGTCTTCCTTTCTGGTTGTTAATTAGCACTCCAGCCATTTAATGGGTCAGCATAATTCAAAATACCAGTTTCCACCTGTTTTTGCCAATTACTAGTGGCATGTGAAAAATTTCTGAGAAGAGAGTTATAACGTCAAAGTAGTAATGTATCTGAGAAACATATTCATTTTGTTGTTTACCCAAAAATAAGTATCTGAGTCATGGAAAACACTGTTTATTTGAAAACTATGAGACATCAAATATGAAATATTGACATTGACATTGTCGCTAGCACTTTCCCCTAAACCACCCACAGGCTTGGACACACGTGCATGCAGCATGAAACAAGTGATTGTTCACGGACTCCTGATGCCTGGAGGACAGTCTGTTAAAAGAATATGTCTCCCACAACAGCTCTGATGTGGACCCAAGGCCTCTCACCAGCTAGTGATCACAGACATTCAGTTAACCTGTCCTCCTGATAATCAGAGGCAACAATTCAGACCCTGGACTTTCCAGAATCCATCTACTGGTATATCTTGGCTTTGAAAAACAGAGGCCTGGCTAATTGGAACAAGCCAGCAACCCCTCATATATGTTTGGTCCTATTTGATAGGGTAATTAAAAATTATAAATGTGCTCAACTATTTACTCTGAAATACATATTATCTTTCAAATTATATATATTATATATATGTATATATATATACATATACATAATTCGACAGATAATTTAACATTTTCCCACTTAGCCAGCTGTGGCCTATGAGATGCATGACTTGGATTCAAGTCCCTGATGCCTCAAGAGCCCTGTAGGGGTTGAAAAACCCTTTCTTCTCTTCAAGCCTTCATCCCGTCACCTGATAAAGGAGGACAAGGGACGAGACCATGCTAAACACTGCATATCTATTTCTAATCCTGACAGTTGTTGCCCAAGTGGAAATCAGGGCTGCTAAATCGAAGACTTCCTAAGGTGAATATTTAATGACCTTACTCATCTCGTGTTACCACATTTTCTGGCTTCTTCCAAGGTTTTAGGATCCCTATGTGTGAGAAAATCTTGGAGGCCATTCAGTAGATTTGTGTTCTGATGAAACTCATTCCAAGCAGCTGTGCTTACTCAACTTGAAATCCCCACAAGGATAGGGCTTTACCTCTCTCTGTTGACCGATGTTTAGATATAGACCAGAGAATTTCTCCTGCCACTTGACTGCATTTCTTTGCTAAAACAAAACAAACACTTCTTCCCTTTTCTTACAGGACTAACAGGAATGTGGGCTGGCCACTACAGTCCAGAAAGCACTGGAATCTTACAGTTCATTTCTTGGGCTATTGGGAATGATGTGAAACTCTGATGAATCAAAACCAATAGTCTAGGGTTAGACTTATTATTCATAACTGCAGGGAGAGTCTTTCCTTCTTGTGGAAGCAGACAAGTAATAACTCAGGCCAGACTGAGGGGTTATGTCAGAGGGTCCAGTTGCATCCCACAGAAGGTATTCACAGGCTGCATGGTGACAAAGGAAGAGCCTGGAGTCAGGAGGACATATCCTGGGTTTCAGGGCCTACTGTGTGGGAGCCACCCACCCCCTCTCTGACCACACCCTCCTGGTATCATTTTCCACTGGAGGTCAGAATAGAAGGAAGTCAAGCTTCTATTCCAATTCAGCTCTGATCCACAGAATTACTGCAGGCCTTGGAATGTCATTCATTATCAAGAGAAAGTGGACAGCTGCTCACTGAACTCTACTCACAAAGGAAAAACGGCAGAGTAGTCATTTCACTGGCTCCCAGCCACCAAAGATCATGGAGATGATCTGTTTTAGTTGCCTATTTTATAGATGAGGCAGGTGAGATGCAGGGAGCTTAAGCAAGTTTCCCAAGGTCACATTGTAAAGCATTAGTAGGGCTAGGGCTCCATCCAGGTACTCAGTCTTCATTCTTCGAAAAGCTAGCCAGGTAGAATAGGGAGGAGCTGCTTATTAAACACCAGGTAACCAGAAAATGGTAACACATGCATGGTGGACCGAGAACAGAGCTCCTATCAGGAGGACTGTGCACCTGGCACTCCGAAGGTTGGCAAATTTACCCACAGGCTCAAAGTTGGGGCTCCATTTCCCTGTCGCTACAGGCACAGGGCTGAAGCAGGGATATGAAATGTTTTATTGCCTGCATGTCCCCTCCTCTAGCCTGTCCCCCACTTCCAACACAACCACCTGTATCAGCTCAGCTGCAATAGACATCTATCTATTCCTGCTGCTTTCTCGAACTGATTAAAACAGAGGTGATTTTCCTCTTGCGGAATTAAAAGGGAACATTGGAGAGATATAAACCAGACAGAAAAGGAATATGCTGATTAATAAAACACATGCCCACAGAAAAGCTGCACGTGTGGCTCCTGTCTGAGGAAAGAGAGCGGGTGTACTGAATTCAGAACAGTTGGGTTGGATTCTCCATGTGCATTTTTCTCTTCTCCATCAGGATAACAGTTGTGTTTCCTGTAGCTGAGCTGACACAGGAAATCAAATACTTCGTGTTTCTATAAGCTATGCTTCCCAGAGAGATAACACATCTAGAATTAAAGCACTACCACAAACTATTCGGAATTTCTGACTGTGACAGGTGTGATTAAAGGACTCCAGTAGCAAAGATCAAAGTCTCCAAATTTTGCCTTTGGAGAAGGGGATTTCATTTTGAACATCAAAGGTAAGGCTCTCAAGTCAATTTATGTTCTGCTGGGTTGAGTCAGTCAGGATACAAATTAAGGTCCATATATTTCAGTGACAAGAAGGAAATGGTTATGTAAATACACGAGTATTAACATCAATCTGTATTAAATTATGTAAACATATACATCTTCTGAGGTCAGCACATAGATCCTCTTCTCTGAGCAGAGCTCTACTGAAGCATCGCTCGAATCTGTTTGGAAGTCGACTCATCATTCAAGTGCTTTGTAGTGAACCTGGATGGAGAGAGAGTGACGGAGGTCAGCTTGCAGACGGCACTCTGCAAACGCTTCAGGAATGACTCCCTGCCCATCTTTACCTTGGGAAATACAAGTGATGTTTACAAATCCAATGAGAGCTTGAGTCTTTATACAAAAAGCCATGTGCTGCAGTGGTCACGGCCAAAGGAATACTATCATTATTAAACCAAGTAGATTTTAATTTTTTTTAAAATTTTACCTAGCCAGCCGGCGCCGCGGCTCACTAGGCTAATCCTCCGCCTAGCGGCGCCGGCACACCGGGTTCTAGTCCCGGTTGGGGCGCCGGATTCTGTCCCGGTTGCCCCTCTTCCAGGCCAGCTCTCTGCTGTGGCCAGGGAGTGCAGTGGAGGATGGCCCAGGTGCTTGGGCCCTGCACCCCATGGGAGACCAGGAAAAGCACCTGGCTCCTGGCTCCTGCCATCGGATCAGCGCGGTGCGCCGGCCGCAGCGCGCCGGCCACGGCGGCCATTGGAGGGTGAACCAACGGCAAAGGAAGACCTTTCTCTCTGTCTCTCTCTCTCACTGTCCACTCTGCCTGTCAAAAAAAAAAAATAATAAAATAAAAAATAAAAAATAAATAAAATTTTACCTAGCCAAATGATTACACGGGACATATAAGCAGTCTAATTTTCCAAGGAGGTAGACATCATATGACTGAGTGTAGAATTCTGGGCAGCGAGGCTACCTCTGCAGAACCAGATTACAAATGTGGTTTTTCTAAAACGTCTGTGGGTCTCTATTTCCATGGCAACTATTATCCTCATGGTTACCGCAAGGGGGCACAAGTGCAGGTGAACAAACAAAAGGTGGTGCCATCTGCAGCCTCGAAACTGGTGTCCATATCGTTTGTGCAAAAGAAAAGAAAGGAACGAACAGGTCCTAGGCATCCCACAGAAGTTTCCAATTCACTCACAATAATTTGGCAGTGAGGTTATTGCCTTCATTTTATAGATGGGAAACTGAGATCCAGAGGTGGCCCACTCCAGACCACAAAGGTGCCCCAATTCATGATTTGTGATTTCTGACCTGAACCTTGGTCCGGCTGCCTCCAACGCCAGCTCTTTCCGGTTCACCACATGTCTCCCTGAGTGCTCAGGGGGAACTTAACACCTCGCACTGCGCCCTGCCCTTGAAGTTTTATTTGATTGGATGAAGCTGGGACTTTGAAAACATTTAGACACTAAAGCCTTCTTACAGTGTGTAGGTAAGCCAGCATGGTCTGTAATAGGCATCAATAGAAGAAATGTTGATTTATCCAAGGATCTGGAAGGCTCTAATGTTAATACTGATAATAATACAGAATATCATACTATTCTGAAGGATGATGACTTAGTAACGTGGCAAAACAGGCTCAAGCTCATTGTCTAGCCTGTTCATTTTCACGTGTATCTCTGTTACTTCATTTGTTAAAGGGGAAAATTGATTGGCCTTACATCTGAGTTGTGATGGTTGAGGGGAACAATGTGGTTGTAACTGGAGCATATATCGCGTGTGTTGTATATAGGTAGACAATTTTGCACCCATTCCACTTACACTCTTTGAACACTTGTGCATGCACAATATAGGTGGGATGGAGGGAAACCAAAGGGGAATAAGCTGGCAGGAACCATAAACTCTCCAGATTATTTGCACAACGGTATGATTCATTAAATTCCCATAGATGTGCTACAGGTAAAAATAAGAATCCCCTCTCAGAGGAGGATGAAGCACATGCCTCCTTGGGAAAAGACAGAGATCAAGCACTTAGGCATTACTTGTTTGAGTGAGGAGCTGGAATAAGCCACGGCTGGTGAAATATTTATGCATTTGGACAGTATATAGCAGAGTTCTCAACTCTTGAAGCTGCACATGTGAACCATGCATACATGTGAACATGCAAACAAGACAACACACACACACACACACACACAATGGGTGTGGGTGCCTGGGTCCTTGACCCAGAGACTCTTATTCACTTTGGGTCCAATACTTAGTCTCAGTGTTTCCTGAGGCTATTCCTCAATCCCGAGGTGCAGCCAGGATTGGGAATCACCGACCAAGACAGAAAGTGAGTCCCAAAGACTGCTTTTCCTAAGATGTCCACACGACTCCCAAAGCATCTTGGCCGAGTCTGGTGGGCCCACGACCTGTGGGGTCCCACAGATGCAAGGGTAGGGTCTAGCTTAGCCATTTACTCTATGGCATCCATCTCTGAATCTCATTTTCTTCCACCTGTAAAAAGGGGATGCTAAAGGTGGTGCTGGCCTCAATAGGTTGTTGGGAAGATGAAACATGTGGAAATACAGCCAAGGTTGACTGATGAAGGGCTGGCTGCCCCATGTAAGTTTACCACCGAGCTGGGCTCACCTGAGGGCATTCAGCAGCCCCTCCACGCTGTCTGGGGCCTGTTCCTTCAAAACCTTTATGCAGCCTTTCATCTAGAAGAAAACACAATGTTGCGTCAATATTCTTGTAATCTGGTCCATATAATATCTATCCATAATAAAACCTGTTCATAAGGTTATCACATTATTCTTGCCCATAGAAATTAAAGAGAGAGATGAGTTTGGCTTTCTTCCTCCCTCTGAGTTTCAAGAGAATTCTGTATGACCACAGTCATTGTCAATTTTTATACTGCACTGCAATTGCACATTTTACGTGTCTGGCACTTGGGGACAAAGACTTGAGGCTTCGATCTTCTTGTCTTGTACTTCACAGCCAGGTGCAGTGCGTTCCCTCTGCTCAGTCTCAGCTGAGACTTACTGACTGCATTACCAACCTGACGATTCTGTATCACTCTTCTGCCCAGAATGCTACCCCTCTTCACCTGCTCCACTTGAAATCCCTTAATGCCTTTTCTTTCTTTACTGAGTACCGGAGATCACCAACTATAGAAGGCTCTTTGGACCTCACTAGCTCACCAGATATAAGCTAGCACCGTTTCTTTGTGTTCCCAATGCCACTCTGCCATTGATCGGAGAAGCTTAGAGAGTGCAGGGTTCAGGTTTGTCTCCTGTCCTAGACCCGGTGTTTCTGAGGGTGCACATCTATGATTCGATCATCTTTGAGAGGATTTGGTAAAGCGCCGTTGTTAAGAGTGTGAGCTTCATAAATGCTTAGATTTGATGCATGCTTTCCTTTTTGGTAACTGCATGAACCTAGGCTTTTTTTTTAAGTTTATTTTGTGACCTTAGAATAATCTATTCATAATTTGGGCAGTGTGTGAAAACTAACATTGATTATACTATACTATGAATATCCTGGAGTGCTATTTTTGGCAAAATGAGAATCTGTGGCAAAGCACAGAAGATGATCACTCACTTTAATTTTTTTTTCTTTTTCTTTTTTTTTTTTGACAGGCAGAGTGGACAGTGAGAGAGAGAGACAGAGAGAAAGGTCTTCCTTTTGCCGTTGGTTCACCCTCCAATGGCCGCCGCGGCCGGCGCACTGCGACCGGCGCACCGCGCTGATCCGATGGCAGGAGCCAGGAGCCAGGTGCTTTTTCCTGGTCTCCCATGGGGTGCAGGGCCCAAGCACCTGGGCCATCCTCCACTGCACTCCCTGGCCACAGCAGAGAGCTGGCCTGGAAGAGGGGCAACCGGGACAGAATCCGGCGCCCCGACCGGGACTAGAACCCGGTGTGCCGGCGCCGCTAGGCGGAGGATTAGCCTAGTGAGCCGCGGCGCCGGCCGATCACTCACTTTAAAGTCAGATTTTCATGGGCTGGATGTATTAGATTTGGTTATACTATGGGCTATGGGTCTCTCATAAAGGTCGCTTACAAACGTTTTCTGTGGGTTTACACTGGATCTATCTTAAAGGCCTGACAGACTCCCATGAACTGAAGGAGAAAGCCAGACAGAGGACTGAGAATCATCTGAGGGTCACATGTAGGCTCATCAGGAAGGCAGTCATGACAGTCACAGATGCCTCTCGTTGGCCAGGCCTGGAGAAGCTAGAAGATGCTTCCTGGAGTGGCACCAGGACTCAGACGTGCAGATGCTGTCCTGCCCCTGACGGAGCTCACAGTGCAGTGGGAGGAGAGAAAGCTGATTACCACGGTGAGGCAAGTGTGCCTGCAGAAGACCAGAGGGGCGGTGAGGAAACAGGTGGAGGAGGAGGTGGCAGAGCTGTGGGAACTCCGGGGACTCTGCAGCTCCGCTTCAGGAAGATTAGCGCTGCGGGGTGAAGAAACAGGGGCTGCCAAGGATGCAGGCAGGGCCACATTCAGGGTTCAGCAGCGCCCTTGGTAGGTGCGATGCTGTCTCCTCATGTGGTTGAATGGAATGGTCCAGGAGGAAGCGGGAGGGGAGAAGAGGCCCAGTGAGAGCACCTGAGGGCCTGAGGTGTGGGAGCAGCAGTGAGCAGGCCGGGAGCGTGGCTCTGCGGCTGATCCTGCAGGACTCGGTGACTGACTGGTTTCAGGGGTGAAGACAATATCCAGGTTCCTGGGGGCACCAGTTCTAGGGTTCTGGCTTAGACAGCACCAGGTTGGTGAATGCTGAACTGCCTGTGGCAGGAACCCAGGAGTCGGAACAGAGTGATGGGGAAAGAAGAAACTTTAGTTTTGGGGCTGGGCGTGTTTCAGGTGTCCATAGGAAGTGGGGTCAGGGATCTGGGCGAAGTCAGGGATTAAGGCACGCTTCCTTGTTATTTCCTGCGATTGTAAGGGGGTCATTTGGAAGCACCGTCTCCTTGCTGGCACCCACTTCCAGCAGCTCTTCTCAGAAGAACTCATCCCTGGAGGCCTCGGGCACATTGCTCTGTTGCTTCCCTCTCTCTGGAGTACTCTTCCTTCCTCTGTCCATCTGGGAAAACCTGGCATCTTTATCCAGGTCCATCTCCGACACCATCCTCTGTCTCTGTCACCATGCAAAACGACCTTCCCTTACCTGAGAAGCTCACTGCATGCCTATTCCGCACTCCTGCAAGCCCTTGGTCAGTGGGTGCACAGTTCTTCCTCCAGCTCCTCACACTAAGCGCTTGTTTGCTTCTTCCTTGATGCTGACACCCTGAGGACTTAGAAACCCAGTGCCCACAAGAGCAGATTTACTGGTATCGGAAGAAGACTCTCTGTCGTCGGAGGAAACGGCCCATCCTGAATATGTGCTGTCGTAAACCTGAAATTTGCTCAGGGCTGCATATGAACTTCAGTACAACAAAGCTTTCTAAGCACGACCTGCATGAACCAACTGGCTTCCTCACGGTGACTTGCAAAGATCGAACAGAACTCGCTGTTCATGCCAGGGGATTCCAATTCAATCCCATCGAGGTGGCATGTACCAATGCCATCTCACTGTTCCAGGTGATCAATTTCAGTTCACAGTTGGTCATGGTGAAGGGACTGGAAGTCAAAGGGAGCACATAGACAAGTCTAGTACCTGCTAACGCTAACTGATGGAGTAAATAAAGGGGAGAGTGATCCAACATGGGAAGTGAGATACTCAGCAGACTCATAGAATGGCAGATGTCCTAAATAGCACTCTGGCCTCAGAATCAGCCCTAAAGGCATTCGGAGCTGGCTGAAAAGCTCATGAGAGTATTTCAGGCATGGAAAGCCAAGACACTCTGGCAAAAGATCTCTGCGAGTGAGATCCCAGTGGAAAGAACAGGTCATCAAAGAAGGAGGTACCTTTCTCTGAAGGGAGGAGAGAACCTCCACTTTGACTATGACCTTGTCTAAACAAGATAAGAGTCGGAGAACTCAGAGGGCTTCCATAGCCTTGGAAACTCATGACTAGAGCATAGGGAGATTACTGATGCCATAGACAGGAGTGTCAATTGGTAAAGTCAACAACAGGAGTCACTGTGAACTTACTCCTCATGTAGGATCTCTATCCTTAATGTGCTGTACATCGAGATTTAATGCTATAACGAGTACTCAAACAATATATTTCACTTTGTGTTTCTATGGGGGTGCAAAACTGTTGAAATCCTTACTTAATGCATACTAAACTGATCCTCTGTAAAAAAAAAAAAAAAATTAATTCCCAACTTGACTCTCACTGGGATTAAACATGACAATAGGTCTGCTCTGATTTCATCATCATTTAAAAAAATCATCTATTATTTTTCACTTTATGTTTCTGTGTGGGAGCAAACTGTTGAAATCCATACTTAATGTATGCTAAACTGATCTTCTGTATATAAAGAGAAATGAAAATGAATCTTGATGTGAATGGAAGGGGAGAGGGAGTGGGAAAGGGGAGGGTTGTGGGTGGGAGGGACGGTATGGGGGGGAAGCCATTGTAATCCATAAGTCGTACTTTGGAAAATTATATGCATTAAATAAAAGTTTAAAAAAAAAAAAAAGAAAACAAGTAAACAAAAAAAAAATTAGGGCTATAAGGCACAATTGGATCTAGCATGTCTTTAACTGGTCACTCTGTGACAATTTAATAAATGGCTATAGTAAATGAGAATGTCTTATGAGCACCAGGCAACAAACTCAACCATACTCAATATTTAGCTATTCATATAATTATTTTTCTTCAATCCATTGAATTAAAATGTTGCAGCTTCACAAAGAACACACTAAAAATATTTACTCATATTAAAAAATGCACACAATATACTGTTATGCAAATGTAATACATTTTAAAATAGCATGCATACCATTTGTTAAGGACAGACAGACAGATAACCATGTGTCCACAAAAACATCCATGTAAACAGAAGGAACATATGGATGCTGACATATTAACAGTGGCTATCTGTCTTTGGTGAGGTTATTATATATTTAATTTGCTAGTTTGATTTCCTATATTTTTTGTAGGAAATATTGATTTTCCTGGCAAGTAGATATAATAAAAATCATGACAATTCTATGAGTTATCATGCCTAGCTATTCTAGGAACGCAGAACCTAAAAATGAGTAACCTAACCCCAGTTATGTTTTCACTGATAAATGTTTTTGCCTTGTTCAGAATCATGGCCCCTCCATGCAAGTGGACTTCCCCTGGGGATGGGGTATTTGAGCTGCAGCTCTGTGTGGCTGAATGAACATGGAGGGTGTCGGGCAGACTCAGCCATGTCAGAACTGCTTAGTCCTAGCAGGGCCTGCTCTGCACTTAAAAAGCTTCATAGGAATACACTAGACACCCTCTGGGATTGGTGCTGCAGGCAAACTCTGGGCTAAGGGGAGATGTGTTTCATCCCACAACCCACAGGAATGCACCTGCACACCCAAGTCATGTCTTTGTTCATTCATTTATTTATTCATTCAGCAAGAACTCGGAAAAGCATCTACCGAGGGCCATGCACTATGCACCAGGGCAGACTTGGGGTGTATAAATCAGGGTCTCTTCCGTGTCAAAAACCTCCTTCTGTGGGGCAGTCAGAAAATACAAAAAGGGGGTGGGGGAGCATTTAGCCTAATGATTAAGACCCTGGCTAGGACAGCCACATCCCTTAGGGGAAAACCTGGGTTTGACAACCGGGCTCTGGCTCCTTACAGCTTTCCACTAATGCAACCTGGGGAGGCAGTAATGATGGCTCAAGTAACTGGGTCCCTGCCACCTCCTGGGAAACCTGTATTGAGTCCTTGGTCTCAGGCTCCAGCCCCAGCCCAGTCCTGACCATCATGAGCATTTGGGGAGTGAACCTGCCTATTGGAATATTTCTCTCTCTCTCTCTCTTTCTGTCTCTAAAACAAACAAAAAATTAATTTGCTTTAAGAAAAGAAAATATAAAATGGTGAGCTTTCTAGGGACCAGAGAAGGAATGCTTGATCCATGAGGTACAGGAAATGTGTTCCTGGGTAAGGTGACATTTGAAGAGTGTCTGAAAGGAACCCAGCCATCAGAGAGCAGGAGGAAGGGTTATGCATATTCAAATGACAAGAAAAGGCAGGAAACTGGGAAGAGCACTGAGTGGCGGTGGTTGGAGAGGAAGCTGGAAGGTCCTCTGGGGTTTGATTACCATGTGCTGTGGAGTCCGCTATCTCCCAGCTCTGCACATTAAGACACATACAAAACAGAAGCACCTATTGGTATGGCACATGGTAAAGGAGGGGCGACTTGAGGCTCAGCTCCACTCTGGGCATCTCAGACTTTCTGCTGTGCTTTTGGGGTTGGCTGTTTTGTGGTCAGCACACAGGAAAGACTAGACTTTTGGCTGTGAGGACAGCTGTCCTGGTGGAGCGTGCATCTTGAAGAGATTGCTCTCAGTGGGGGATGGAGGCCAGGGCAAAGAAGCAAGCTCTGTTTGGCAACACATGTGTGTGACTATTTGCTAAACATGTTTCACAATGGCTCTTACGTCGATCTTGGACGTCTTGCAGAAGGCTCCCACAGGGTGCACGTGGTCGTAGAGGATGATGACCCCCACCATCACCCTCATGCAGAACATCAGCGTTTCTTCACTCGTAAACCTACTCCTGTACTCCCTGCAAGAAAGAAGCAACCACAGTGGCGTCACTGCCTTGTCACAGAACACGCATTTTCGGCTGCACACTGGTCCTCCTCTAAGTCTCCCTTGAGAACAATTGCAGATCTGCAGCAACCGGGTTAATTTGCTCTTGAAGAAACCCATGATGATAATTCTCCTTGAATCTATCCAACCAGCAATTCAGTGCAAAAATAAAGTAAATTAAAGGGCAGTAAATTCTCCTCTCTTCTGCCCTTCAGTGGGGCCAGCTCATCATGTACATCACGCCCCTGCCTATCAATCTTGAATATTTTATAGCAGGTCCCTCTGGCTGTCCAAGATTATAGAGAATAATGACTTCATTACAGAGAAAAAGAACCAAGCTCATTTCCACCGAGCAGCTATCATGTCTCCAGCCAGAGTAACTTCTTTTGTTAAGATACAGGCTGCAGATTGAATTGGACTGGCAAAGATACCTGAAAGAAATTATGTACCATTCACTGCACTGAGAGTATTTGCGGACTTCGAATTTGTTCACTTGCCTCGACAGGGTCGTTGATGATTCAGATGATTTAGGCCAATTCACCAGGCTTTCTTAGCATCCATTTCATTACAAACTGGCCCCAAAATGAATGTGATTACTATTTGTGTCTTGGAATGAATCCTAACTTGGTATAAATGAAATATTTGAAATTAATGTCATCTTATGCTGGAACAGATCATCAGATTTTATAAGGAACTCTTGATGCCTGTGGACTTCTCAAATATTCTAAAGTAGAAGGCATTGTGGGAGCTTCATGGAATGGGAAATCAAAGCCCAGGGAGGTCAGGGACCTTGTTGACAAGGAACAGGAGGGGTGACAGCCATAAGTAGAGCTCAGACTTTCCCCATTCCCACACTGCTTCATCTCCAAACACCTCAACCATCTGGTAGACCTAGCAACTAGGAATCAAGCTAGCTACAGGGAAACTTCAGAGAAAGAGATGCACAGAACACACACACACACACACACACACACACAGAATGAGCATTTCCTTCTCCCTTAGAATGCCTAGTCTTGGTTCTAAGTCTTTTCCCCAATATATTTCCAGTAATACCTGTTCAGGTAATACACCCATCCATTTCATTATCATACATCTTCACAGAATTTTTGACCTGAGTATTGGTCCTAACAAGCTGTGCAAACTTTGCGAAGTCAGTCAACCAATTTCAACTTCAGTTTTTCAGCTATAAAATGGGAATAAAATGGGCACCTGCCACTTATCTTTATGAAATTAAAGCGGATGACATACATGTAAATGTTAATGTGCTGACCCAAATGGCATATGACATATACATATGTATATGTCATCATCAGCATCGCTGGCATCATTATCATCATCCCAGCAGACTGGCTCAACTCATGAACGTGCAGCCTTTGGAACTTACGGTGTTTCCAACATGACCTTGCAGACACTCGTCATTGTACTGAGGCAGTCCGTGGTGTTCTCTATTGGCAAGGTCTTGTTCTAAAGAGGAGACACACAGGGGGGTCAGCCTGCTAGCAACTTCTACGTGCAGTAAAGAAAAACAAGCACCACGTTGCTCAACTTCACTCACTTCAGAGACAAAATGCATTGTGGCGTTGCTAAGGGTTTTCAGCATTGGCGTGGCTTCTGCATAGAAGAGGGACATTCGGTTGGCCATCTCGTTGTTGACCTCATTCTCAATGTCTAGCTAATGGAAAGAAGAAGAGAGAAGATGCAGTCATGAAGCGGAAGTCAAAAATCTCAAAAGACCCTCCTTTGGAAATTGAATTAGAGACCGCACTCCGTCTTCCCCCAGGGACCTGCCTGATGCGGAAAGCAACAGAGCCTGGGGCAGGGGTGCGGAGGCCAGGGAGAGTCACGAACTCACATGCATGTTGTTGATGCGGTTGCGACTGATTGTTCTCCTGTAGTAGCTGAAGTCATTCTGAATGGCCGGGTTCCTCATCTGAAATTCAGAATCAAGGCAAGGTTATCCTGCAGCCTCAGACACTGGGAGCCCAGACATTCGATTCTGTGACTATGCCAGGACTTCCCATTGTCACTCAAGAGCCAAAGAAACTTCTTGCGAGAAATGACCAAAGCTTCATTATTTCAAAATAGGCCCTGCTTCTCCTGTGGGCGAGATTTCAGAGAAAGTGTATTTGTTCTCAAGGAGGAATAGACACTAAAAAAGTCTGCTCTTACTTCATTTGGCAGATTCTGAGTTTCCATACACAAATCATCATCTTAAATTGCTTTTACCACAAGGAATGCAAACTCTCACCACAATGTATGTCTCTCCGGGGCAGGAGCCACATCTGACTCCTCTCCCTATACTCCCCACCCCCACCCATGGTCCTAGCAGAGTAGCTATAAACTCAGTACAACTTTGTTCCATATTCACAGCACATGTGGCCTAACCTTCAGCTCATCGAATCGAAGGGTGAAATGTAAGATTTCTGCAAACTCCTTTGCCAGGGCCTGCTCCCGTTCCAGGTGCTGGGTTGGTGTGTAGGGCGGACAGGTCAGAGATTCCAATAAACTCTGAAGAGCTTTTTCTGCAAGTCAAAGGGATCACTTGTAGATGGGTAAGGTGAGCACAGTTCTCAGCCCCAGAAGACAGTCGCAGGGAGAACCTGCTTGGGTCTTCCCTGACCATAGGCTTCCCCATAACTGCCTGAGTACTGCTTCACGTGGACCGGGAAGAGGAGTCCCCCATGCCCAAGCAGGCTGCAGCCCCTGCAGGAGCCCTCACGGCCATGTCGTCTGTGAGTGTCTCTCCTAGCTTAGCTGGACCCTCACATACTTAGTAGTTCCAGCCACTAACCTCGCTGGGAAACCACAAATATGTGCTTTGGGATCCTGCACATGAGATAGTCATGCATGATACGGGATGAACACATGGGTTAGATTACCTGTTGTGCAAGAAAAGACCTTTTTCTAGTCTTTCTATGCATCTAAACTCTAACCCAATCCCAGCAACATTTTTTCTACAAACCCACTGCCACATTTACCTCCATTATTGCTCTTATAATATCTCATTACACCCACTTGTCTGTTTCTAAATATTCCATACAGTTCTTTCTTCAATATATTTATAACAGCAATGAATCATTTCACCTACTTTTCTATAGCAGAGCTTGGCAAACTATGGGCTATAGGCCAGATCAGGGCCATTGCTCATTTTTGTACTGAAAGTTTTATTGGAACACAGATATTCTCATTCTTGTATGCATTGAAAAGGCTCCTTTTGTTCTGTAACAGTGGGGTTCAATAGTTGCAAAAACGACAGGACAGTCCACAAGTCTAAAATATTTACTCTCTGGCACTTCACAAGAAAGCTTGTCTTTTATAGCACTTTTACAAGAGATGTCTTCAGCTTTGTTCCGTCTACAGGAACACACGGCCTCCTGAGGCAGCCAGCTCTACCCTGGCTTCATCTGATTGACAGATCTTTTCCCTTCTGTCGCACTGAAACTTGGCTTCTGAGGATTTTGGTTCACTGGGTCTATGCTTTGAGGAAACAGGAAATGGTTTTGTTTATTAAACTACTCCCCTTGGTCCTAGATTCTAGTCCTCTCAACAACATGACCATCATTCTTCCCAAGTATCTCAAATTCTCTGTTTTTCTCTTGAAATGTTCATTCACTTTATGGCAAAAATAGGGCAGGATATGACTATCACCTCCCTTATTTTAGATACACTCTATTAACCTTTCAGAGCTTTCTTGTGGGAGATAATGGTCGTCCTATTGCTGGTGACATTCAGCTTGTTGTCATCCAGACTTGGCTTTTCTCTGACTCTGCAAAGTTATCCTGCACCTACTACATAGTTCTATTTTAAAGCTTTGCTTAAAATCAAAACACTGTGTTCACTTTTATTGCATTTTATTAGATTAAATTTATCACATGATTCCAGCCAACAAAGTCATTTTTGGGGTTGGCAAGTAACTTGGGTCTTCTAAGTTACTCAGATACATACTCAGCTTTTGATAAAACTACTGAGTTAGAGATGATAAGTCTAAAATGACATTTGCCACTAGAGACATTCTAAATGTGTCAGTTACTTCTGGGGAACAAACTCAGATGGGTTGAAGGAAATGCAAATGACAAGAGTTGAGGTCTAGCATGAACAACCTGCAGTAGAGGCATGTGGGCCATTTTTCCAAAATGCTAAGATCTTTCTGCTACTCTCAAAGGCCAACGCAGAACTTCACACATAAGACATGGGAACTACAAACACATACTCACCTAGCCTTATGGAAAACTCATAAAATCTCTTTAGCCTCACAACCAGAGGACACACTGCATTCCAGGCTTTTTCTTGAAGCTGAATGTCATTCGGATTTTGAATCGCCTGCAAAAACATGGTAGAACTGGCTATTTAATAAGAAGCAACAAACTCCACATTAAATTGCCCCAAGACTGAGAAACAATTTTAGTTAAAAAAAAAAGTTTAAAACTATTATCCTTGCTGACATGTACTGGTTAAACTGACACTGGCTCATTGGATTGTCCTCCAAGATACTAATTTTGAATGGAGATGTTAGCCCTTGAAGGTAAGGCAAATGGCTCTACAGTTAGATTCAGATTCTGTGTCATCTGACTTGTTTCTGTTTCTCAAACACAAAGAGAGCACATCCAAAATGGAAAACTTGCAGCCGTCCCCATCACCATTTGAATCTTCTAAAGTGGAGTGAGTTAGTGCTCATTACAAATTGCAAATTTTGTAGCTATTTTCCTTTCTCTGTACTATGGGTTACTTTCTTAAAGCCTGTATTACAGCTAAGTTACCTAAATTAAGTGGTGGCCCCTAAGTAGAAAAACTGCCTCTTTACAGACCGATACTTTCCTAGAAATGCTTCCTTGTTTGGGGCTCAGTAGATGGAAGATTAAGACAGAAGCTCCCCTCAGAATCACAGAAGGATGGTGACAGCACTCTGCGTGTGTGTTATGTATTGCTATTTCCAGAAAACTAACACTCGCAAGTAAAAGCAGTGTGAAGATTTTTGCCTTTAAGACATTATAAAGTCTCAACAATCAAACTTACAATTTTCTTTTCTGTTTTGGTTGTTTCATTTTTCACTTTAAAAAAAGAACCCCCTAAGACATGTAAAATGATAAATCTGCTGTACAGAACCCATCACGATCATTACCACAGGTTCCAAAGTACATGTCATCCCAGACCTCACAACTCATACCTTCACTACTGTTCACAGGCACCGTATGCATACTTCGCTTAAGTGAAGTGCTCTACTGATCTTACTGCTTAAATGCGAACTCTGCAATATTAACTATACACTTGAGATGAAAATAGCTAATATATCACATGTTCTACAGCACCACGTGCTCAGATGAATGTCCTAGAATAAAAGCAGCCATTCATACACTGTTTTAAAGGACACATTACCCTCCTTGTTCTTCCTAGAACTCTAGGAAATACTAGGGCTATTACTTCATGTCTCCTCTCCCTCTCTCTCGCTTTGCTTTTCCTCTTAGGGTGTTGTCAGGTCGGCATCATCAGTGGCTTACGTACATCTCGGATCTCTGGGCCTGCCCCTTTGTAGGCCTGCAGGTCTGCAAGGATGCTCTCGGAATCCTGGAGGACAGCGCTGATCTGGTTCCAGATCTCTCTCTCTCCCTCTGTTGGCTGAGCATCTAAGTGGGATCAACACCAAGAGACACAGGACATTCGTGCTTACAAAGGGTTCTGGAAGAGGACTGGTATTCAAGTCTACCTCTTGGACAATCCTATCTTACTCCCAGATAGGGAAAAGTAACACAACTGCTGCTCCTTACTCAGTCCAAAATATTCAACAATCTCTCTGCACACATACACCACCTTACTGGAAACTTTGTAGATATTTATTTATGTAGAATATATTGTTTTGCACACCTGCTACATATGAAGCACTGGGTAATAGAGGGAATAAATATTGTCTTTTGGGGTCCGTATTTTTTATTATTATTGTATCTTATTTTAAAACATTCTTTTTTATTGTATACTATACATAATATAAAATTTACCATCTTAACCATTTGTAAATGTACAGTTTAGTGCTATTACACATAATCATAACATTATGCAACCACCAGCACCAAACGTCTCCATAACTTCTCATTTGCCAGACCTGCTGCACCACGTAGGAATGAGATGATTTCAACCAGGGAATAAGGGAGTCCTAAAGGACTTGCACATCAGTACCCAGTGAAGGGAAAGAGCGGGGTGGGCTGGCAGGAATGCAAGAAGTTGGAGGTGAGGAATGGGACTGCAGCTGAAGCAAGTGCTTAGAGGCAGCCAGAGGAAACAACATGGGGCCAGTCTAGCCTGGGAGACAGAGGGGGAGCCAGGAGAACAAAGAAACTTACTGCCCCTTCACCTCTTCACACCCTTCCATCATTTTCCACAGCTTCCAGTACATTTTCTCAGGTATAATGTTACTCACAACACCAATCACTTTATATTGTTATCTTTCCTGGCCGTGGATGTCTCCAACAGAAACCGAAAATCCCATAAGCTGGGAACTGAAACTGGAAGAAGGGTTTTGCTGGAGTGGAATTCTAGGCAAATGCTGGCAGTTTGCAAGTAAGAGGAGGGACAGGGAAGAAAACAGTTCAAAATACAGATCTTAGAAAACAAATACAAATCAAACAGTCCTTAAGTGAAATCCTTTCTCTTTCTGATGAATGTGTTAGAAAATCACAAGCTAAACAAAGACAGTTTCCTAAGGAGCAAGAGGAAAATCAAACTCAAGTTCATGACCAAGAATCTGATGGTTAAGACTACATGAAATAAATTATAAAGGAGTGTGCCGCACTGGGAGGCCAGCAAGGGCAGCCTTCTCTCTAATCTGGGTTGTCACCGGGCTCTGTCCCAGCAAGTCACCACTTGATAAGTTGTAGACGCAACAGATGCAGAACTAAGTGAGCTCAGAGGGGAGGCTGGACAATCCAGGAAACATCCTGCCCTGATCACTCACATGCAGCAGGAGAGAGAGTTCAAGCCAGTTTTTAACATAGAGGCCTTCAAGTGCTTCAGAAAGGAAAGTTTCCAGTAGATGTCCTGAGAGCGAAGCTGGGCTATAAACAGGCCACAGCCTCTCTCCACCCCAGGTGAATAACAATGGCATTTATGTGACCATGACGTTGGACAGGGAACCCAGGGCATGGTGTCGCCTCTCTCCCAGACTTGGGTGGGGGGCTGTGATGGCTTCCTTCCTTTACACAGCTGGAGGCTCTGGGAAGCTGCACCCTCACTGCCCAGCCTCCCTCCCTGGGCAACTGTTCCTTGTGCTTTACTAGAGACAGTTCTCATGTGGTTCTCTTTGGCAGTGGTGGAGTGGGAGGAACCCAATCCATCTTCCCTCACTTCATCTGAGCTTAGAAATTGTGAGCTCATTTTCTTCCATAATTTGTGAGTCTTATTGGATGTCTTATTTCCTCCCTCATCCCTGTTGCAGAACTGAAGTCACCTCCTCTTCTAGCCAATAATTAGGCCGTTGTTGCTGGCCATGGAATCCTGCCTTCTTGGCCAGAGTGCTACTGGATTCTCAGGGGATGGCTGGGAGAAGCTCTGGTCTTTCTTTTCCAGGAGTAAAAGGACTGTGTAGGGGCTGGTGCTGTGGCGTAACAGGTAAGGCTGCCACCTGCAGTGCCAGCATCCCATATGCATGCTGCTTCTAGTCCTGGCTGCTCCACTTCCCATCCAGCTCCCTGCTAATGGCCTGGGAATGCAGTAGAAGATGGCCCAACCCCTTGGGCCCCTGCATCCGCATAGGAAACCTGGAAGAAGCCCCTGGCTCCTGGCTTTGGATCGGCACAGTTGCGGCCATTGCAGCCAGTTGGGGAGTGAACCAGTGGATGGAAGACCTCTCTCTCTGCCTCTCCTTCTCTCTCTGTATAACTCTGACTTTCAAGTAAAATAAAAAATCTTTTAAAAAAAGGACTGTGTAACTCGAGGTGACATTGAACTTACACCAAAATCCCTGGGGAAGTCTGTGACTCATCTTACAGTCATTCACCAGCTCAGTGATCAGTCATAAGTAATCAATGACAATTGGATGCCTTAGCTACAGGACTCCACCCATATCTGCTTCATTTGACATCCAGGACAATGCCCGACACATAATAGATACTCATAAAAAAGTTGCTTAAGAATTAGTTGAATCAATGATTTAAGTACATTAAATTTCATTTTATATGTATTATATTTAAACATATTGTGTTTTATGATGGCTGTTCTTTTGATACCAGGTCTGTATTCTTGCAATCAGTGCTTACACGGTGCACTATCCACTTGAGACACTCAGTAAACACACACTAGATTAATGACTCAATGAGGAAATGGGTCAGGTGGCAGTGAATGGTGGGTGCTGAGTAGCCTTGAAATAAAGGCCCTATTACTCCCAGATTCTCTGTCTCTTCTCCTCCTGTAGCTTTTCTGCTGCTACACTTCTCCCTGCTACAGTAAAACATCTGCCTTGCCTACAATCACACTGGTCATTCACACCTGCATCACTATTTGAATTCTTAAATCACCCATTGTTCATCTATGCCTCAATATTGCCTCAGTGTGGTTAACATTCTAAAAGGGCATTTGTTCCGTCTGGCAGAGTCAAAAAAAACTGCACTTAGGCTTATTCCTCCAATTGTAAAAGCGTTACCATTTTTGTTTTCTGGAAAACCGCTCTGAGAGGCTTTGGTGTCTACACCTTTGGCATTCTCCTAATTTAGATTCAACTGGTGATCATGTTCTTAAAATTTACTGTGTTTTCAGATGTCAAAACGAAAGACACTTTGAAAGGAACTGTGAAGAATTAGTGACTGCAAAGGTTACTATATTTAACCCATCAGCAACCCCTTCAAGCATTTGCTGAGTGAACAGGAACTCTGAACTATGGGCTTTGCTTTTCTATTTTTAACACAAAGATTGACCTTTAGTCAAAGGAAGGCAGGCACACACGCACACACACCACACACACACCCCAATAATCTTACAGATGCAAATATATCCCTATTTCCAGTTGCAGACTGAATTCTTTGGTGATGTTTCTTCTAAGAACCACATTCTAAGCTTTCTAGCATTGCCAATTATTGCATTGAAATTGAGAATGGTTACATGAAGCTGAGGTTACACATGTCTCAGAATGAAGCTGTTAAAAATCCCCGTGATTTACACAGGCGTTTCAGAAACCAATACTTCTAGGAGCCTTGGAACAAGTGCATCCCGGCCATTATCTGGGAGATGATTTAATGCCTGTTCTGGACCCGCCATTGCGGAAAGTATGAAAATGTATCATGGGCACTGTGACCTTGCAGTCATACATCTATTGTCAAGAACTCAGTCGAATTTCAGTAGATATAATAGCCTCTTGTTAATTAAGATGGATAAACAGTGTGGATTTTGTTTGCAGGGGGATACACTGACCTTCCTTTGGAATACCATTCTGGTGGGTATTAGAAATGTTAGATGGTAGATATTAACTGCCATCAAGGTAGAAAGTCTCAGCATGGAGGGTGATGACATTTAATTTAAAGCAGAATGCTTGGAAATCCACCATGCTGATGGACAGGAAGGCAGGCAGTGCATTGTCCAAAAGACGGCTGGTGAGCACACCCCAGGGCACAATAGCAGGGCTCGGATTGGAGAAGGGCGTCATACCAAAGCGTCAAAGCCTTCCTATCGGAAAATCAGCCAAGAACTCCCCACGTCTTTAAGAACACACACAGCTTCTCCTAACAACCTATTCAGTGCTGCATGGAAAACTTGACAGAAAGTCAAACGAGACTAAGACAATCTGGGCAGACAACATAATTTATACAGAGATGTCTTTGGTTTGGAAGGAAGCCCTGGCGTTTCATTAGGACATAAAGCTCTGTCTGTGGTCCAATGAATGTGTTACACACTGAAGAGAAGTACAGCAAAAAGGATTTGCTAAGGCCATAAATAAAATCCATAGCCATTCTTCCCCACCACTCCTCACTCCTCCAATCCTTCTCCTCTTCTGGATAAACTACGAAGCATAAATAATTATCTATTAATAACATTTGGGGAAGCAAAGCAATAATGATTTATAGCAGAATACTCACTGCCTTCAGAAACAGCATAAAATTGCAAAGGTCCATGGGAACTTACAAGCGTGACTGGGCTGACATATTTATCTGTGCAGGATGTTAGCCATTAATCGTCTCACACCAGAGCTTAAAGCACTTTCCTATGGAGCAAGCACATCAGGACTGAAAAGAGCAGGTAGGGTCAAGGTTCTGGAAGGTTCGTTCACATGCAGTGGATTCCCTGCAAAGCGAGCATTCTAACATCAACTTCTTGAAACCAAGTCTAACTGCCAGTTTTGCCACTCATTATCTATTAGACTTCAGGGTAAACCAAGTAATCTCCTGGGGACCCAGACTAGTTCTTGGTAAAAGAGAGGGAAACGAATGACAGTCCTGCACCCTCCTGACCTATAGGGTCATAATAAGGATGCTGGCATAAATTAAAAACACTTATAAAGAAAAAAAAAAGTAAGCAATTCAAGGCATCGTTGTCACTGAATGCTTGTGTTGATGTAAATAAATTTTTCCTCAGTTCTGTTCTTTTTGTTTGTTTGTCAATTGAGGACACTGGACTGAACACATCTGATCATCTGGTATTTCTTGTT